GAGGGAGAAGCGTGTGCCCGTCATCTGCAACTTTCAGACCGACCTGGCTGGCTACTGCGCCATCCTCTTCCCCCACCCGTTCAGCACGTTTGCCGTCTTCGCCTTCTCTATGGTCCAGTCCTTCCTGTTCAGGCACGAGTCCATCAAGACCGTATTTTACCCCTCACGCTTCGTGCAGAGGTACCTCGAGGCCCAGGGCGTGCAGGCCTCCAAGATGGAGCTCCTGCAGCGCGGCGTCAACACGGAGCTCTTCCGGCCGGAGATGCGGAGCGAGGCCCTGCGCAGGGAGATTGCGCCCAACGGAGAGATTATTCTCATCTGCGTATCCAGGGTGGCCGGCGAAAAGGGGTTCGGCTTCCTGGCCAAGACCGTCAAGGAGCTGGACGCCCGCGGTCTGGAGTTCAAGCTCTATGTTGTAGGCGGCAACCGCAACCCCGACGTCGAGCGCGAGGTACACGAGATGTTCGACCCGCTGCGGGAGCAGGGCAAGGTCATCTTCGCCGGGTTCAAGACCGGCGACGACCTCGCCGCCGCCTACGCCTCCGGCGACATCTTCCTCCACTGCTCCGTTACCGAGACGTTCGGCCTCGTCGTCCTTGAGTCCATGGCATCGGGTGTGCCGGTCGTAGCCAGAGACGAGGGCGGTCCGAGTGATATCATCCAACACGGCCGCTGCGGATACCTCGTGCCTCCCGACGACCTCGACGGCTTCGTCGATAAGGTCATGTACCTCGCCAAGGATAGGGACTGCCGTCAGAACATGGCCACACAGGCGCGGGACATGGCCTGCCAGGCGTCCTGGGACAAGATCAACAACCAGGTGGCATGGCGGATGGCGGACACGATCCAGGAGCGGGAGCGGGAGCGGGCTCAACTTGTCCACCAGCGTTCGGCGTCCAACGCAATTAGCCAGCTGATTCCAATGTACAGTTGGCTACTCATGAACAGCGCCCTCCGAGACGTCCTCGTTGGAAGGATAGTGGACGCCAAGCTGGCCGGCGGGTTCTCCGTTGTCATGATTTGCTGGTGCCTCACGGGAATCTACCTGGCCTTCACAGAGGCGATGCTGTGGTTCAAGAGCAAGCTGCCGCAAGTCTCAGCGCAAACAACGGCATGACTGGAGGAGGTGATGAAGGAAGCTCAAAGGCTGCAAAGGGTATGGCGTTCATTCCGGGGAGATAGGGCGATTGCGTATATCGCAGGATTGTGGCTTGGTGCCGGTGTTTGGCGAATGTTTGGTAGCGTGAGATGGGACTGCATTTTTTTTTAGCGAATAAGCCCCTGGCGGTCAGTCAGTCAGAATGAAATAACGAAGCTTCAACAAACTCCGTTCTCGTTCGAATTGACAAGCGACAATGTCACCGGCGCTTGCCGTGACAGCCAGTTCCCTTGCTGGCCGCGTCATTGTAGATCCGTGAGGCACCGAGAATGCAACGGTTGCAACTGTGCAGAAGGCCGCCGGCAGGTGACGGTACTGCCACCTTAATGCGACGACTATCGCTATCGCCAGGGTTGGCTGTAGCGCTGAGAAGGCCGGAAGGTGGGAGCAGTTCGCGAGGCGGCGCCCTGATCCCGAAACAGGTCGCACCAACGGACCCAGCTGTGTGACGATGTTTCGCGGGCGGGCCGGACGCTGGCGGTGGCCCGGTATTTGTGTTGGTGATGGTGTTTTCGCTCTCGCTGTCTCTCGTGGGCGTTGAAGTCGAAAAAAGGCTGTTGTGTTTGCTGGTTCGTCCGGCAGATATCGATATCGACGGATCGTGGGGGTGCTGAATGATTTTGATTAAGTGCGATCGACCGATTGAAATTCACAGACGTTCGGGACCCGACTTTGGGACCCCAAAGTCACGAACCCATTATTGAGGCTGCGCAGGCAGGGCTGGCTGCATCTTCCTGGTCAGGGGTCCATATCATCATGGGCATGCGCCAACGGTCCAATAGGCGCAGCGACGTGGACAATCGAAATTGACGAGCCGGAAAAGCCAGGGTTCAGACGAGAAGAGGCCAAGCTTTTGGTGACAGGAGGTTAAAATGGAAAAGCAGGGGATGGCGGCCAGGATGTGAAACGTGAAGAACTGAACGAGGGTCGATGAGAAAGCACCGAAGATGTGTGGCTGGTGGGTTGGTGCTGGTGAGGTAATCGGAGGCGCCTGTGGCTGGTGCGACCGTTTCTCATTCTCCTTGGTCCTCGGAAGAGGCGCGAGTCCAGACGCAGTTCTTGGTCGTGGTACTCACAGCGCGTCGGGGCGTCTAGAGTGGGTCCTCAATCTGCAGCAGTGATGTCCGGGCATCTCAAGCAGGCATCTTGAGCGGCAGATGGGCCCGTTCACACGAGGAGCAGGCCTGGTTCGTCCTGGTTCGTCCTGGTTCGCCCTGGTCCTCCGTTTCACCTGAGACAAGGGCCGCTGCCTGCAGGCGCCGCGCGCGGCAGCAAGAGGTTTGATTCTATGAGCCTCTCTCAGCTCTGCAGTGCAGGGCTCGTCGGCGGGTGGCACTGGATAAGGATGAGTGATTGATTACCGGTGGTTTGTCAGTTTTGACGGCTGGGGGAAAGGGACGATGATGCGGCCACCTCGGACTGTTGTGGGTTGATCTCTCGACCTGCATTTTTAGCTTCTGAGGTCAGCAAGTCAGGATCGGATATGACGACTGATTAAGCCATCGTCATTGCTCTCGCGAGAACAGAGAACAGAGAGAGACATTCGTAGGCGCCGTCGCCACACCGCTGAGGCCTCTACCCGATTGTGTGCGTCGTCATTGGCGGATCGGACATGCAGTGCGGCTTGGAAACCTAAAACCGGTGGCTGTTGGCGCCGAGGAGCACCCTCCCTTGTAGTAGCACGGTGGTTCTCGATGAGAGGCCACTTAGGTCTCTCTCTGCTTTCTTTTTCGTGTCTGGGTGGTTGATTTTCTGGAGAACCAAACCCTTGGCTGGCCGTTGGCAGTTTCTTGCGTGCTGGGCAACTGCTGCGGTGAGTGTCCGTAGAATCACAAGTACTTGTGCTTTGGTGTGTGTTTATGCATAAGACTAAGTACCGATACCCCTGATCAGATGCCCCACACATGAGACCCCGGCGGGTCCACTCGATGGCTGAGGCTATCCAATGAGAGGGTCGCATCGGCCAGAAACTGCTTCAGCGCCCGACCCTACCCCTTCCTCGAACGACGCTTGTTCCATCGCCAGTCGATCCGACAATGCCATGGGCTGGTTGAAGGGATAGGCTCACGAGGCTCAGGCACAGCGCACGCCAGACAAACCTTTCCGCGGCGGAGGGTGGCCGTGGCACCGTCGTGAGTGGTCGATGGAGACGGAAGGGGGGGAGTGGTATCCATCTGGCGGCCAGTCCGTACTCTTCCTGTGGTCTGGTTTTGCAGAGTTGTAGTGGCCATTCATAATTCAGTATTACGGATGCTGTGTAGTGTATTGTTGCATGTATTATGTATGTGGGGAAGGGGGAAGGGGGAAGGGGGATCCAAAGGGGGAAAGCAGGCACCAGAACGCCCCTTCCATGCTTATTCCTTCCCTCACACACGGTACGCTATCCCCAAACGGCTCTAGCCTCGCCTTCCCCGGCTAACCTTACCTCGACTTACCTCGCAGAGTCTCCATCGCTTCCCGTCCCTCCACCAGCCAAGCCGCCCTTTTCTCCCTCATCGCCCTGCTCTCGGCGCCTCTCAACTTGAACTTGGCATCGTTCATTACGACTCTGCTGCTCACCGTCACCGTCAACAAGCGAACTCGAACTCGCATCAACGTCTCCGTCTCCAGTGACGAACCACCAAATCAACCGAAATCCACAGGAAACAAGGCCGCTCGTCCCTCATCCACTACCACGTTTCCCACGACCTCTAGAGTCCCTGCGCGTCTCTCGTTGCATTTCCCGTCTCACAAAACCACAGACCACGCACTCGGTTTCCCACTCGTCCAGCTTCGCAAACACAACCAGACGGTTTACGGCACAGGTCACCCTCGTCCTTATCCCGTACCACCCACTCTTACTGTGCCCTCCCTGCTTCTTCAGTCACATCACGCCTCAGATCCTCCCGGACCCCCAGCAATCCTGGTCCGATTACCACCACCCCGCCACTGTCTGAGGAGTCTCTGCTCTGCGCTCTTCGTACCCATCACCACCAACTTCTCCAGACCAGGACTCTTCCTCTCACAAGCCACGGCCTCGCGTCCCTCTCTCCAACCCACCCCGTCGACCTGACCCCTCGATCCCATCCTCGAACCCAAACCACCCCCTCAGCCCTGCTACTTGGCCTGTGGATCGCACCGTGTCAGGCCATTGCCCGTCTTGTCAGGCACCACGATGGTCGCTGCATGACACAATTCCTCCCACACGTCTCCTGTTTGTCAAAGGCCCAGCCCTGCTGTGCCCTGCCCGTTTATCGACGTTTAATCTCCGCCCTTATTGTATCCTCGCCACCCCTCCCACTACTCGACTCTTCTCTCCTGCGCCTTTCCGAGTCGAGCCGACCTGACCATCGCGCGACCAACCCGAGTACAGCTAAGCCAGCAAACTACTGCAATCCTCCCCTATCACGGGCAGGTCCCTTTTTCCACCTTCTCTTCTTTTCCCTTCCTCGCCGTCGAATTCCCCACGCCCTTTTTGAACATCGATCCGACTCGACGCCGCCTCCGTGTACGAAGATTCGTCTCGATTCGATTCCCGTCGTTAACGTCAAGTCAAAATCACCGGCAACCGCTCTCCCTTCAGCTCTCATCGATCGATCGGCTCCGCTCACCCGGGCAGGCGAGGTAGTGGACTTCATTTACGCTCTTTCGTAGCTTCGTCTTTTTTCAATTCGCTTCGCTTCGCCGCCGGCCGGGACCCGACTTTGTAATTAGACCTTGGCCACGCCATACCGACATTAGCAGCCAGATCCACCCTTTCTCGGCTCCGAATCTCATCAATCAATTAATACGATCCCACCCCGATCGCCACCCGCCATCTAAGCTTACTTTTCTAAACTACTACACGAAATCACGATCAACCATGTTCTGGAAGGTGGCCGTCACCACCGCCGCGCTGGCCTCCAGCGCGTGCGCCGAGATCCGTCCGCTGGCTATGGACCCCACGATTGAGGTTAGGGCCGTCGACGTGTTGGAACGAAGCTACGAGGATGTCGCAAACCGGTACATCGAGAAGCGCCAGAGTATGGACATCAACGCCGAATGGGTTCCCAACGCCCTCGAGGTCAAGGTTAACGCCGATGGCTCCATCAACATGACGGCATGGGAGACGGAAACTTCGGCCGCTTGCACTTCAGCACTCTCGCATCTCGATGCTGCGTCGAACCCGTCAGGAACCTGCATCTGCTACAACCTCCCGAGTCTGGATGCGAAGACGGGAGTTTTCGAGGCCGACTTGCGCCTGTTCAAGGTCTCCGACCCTGTCGGTGCCTTCTCCGGTATCCCGCCGCAAAACATCCAGGTCGGCCTCTCCTTCAACGGCGCCTCCGTGTCGCCCGTCAGCGCGAACAAGATTGCTGGAACGGCCTCCGTCCGCCGCGACATGGCTCGCGACGTGACCTTTGAAGTCCCCTGGACCGGTCTGCAGAAGCGTGTCGTTACGCCCCAAGCCCTGCAATCGTATTTGTTCGTCGGTCAGATTGACCAGGCCAGAATGGTTGCGCCCATGTCAATGTATGTTTATTTGCTGCCCCTGTGGAACCGTGCTGTGCTAACCAAACCAGGTCTCAACTAGAGTCACTCGTCATGCCAACCCTCACTCTCACCGGTGTCAACGCCGCCGGCCAGTCTGTCAGCACCAATGTCTCATCGAACGAGGCGTCTTTCATTACCGGCGTTTTCTCCAAGGAGATTGTCCGCTCCGATGTTGCCATGGCTCAGGCCGCCGTTGACGACGTGGTCGCTGGCCTCAAGAACGGAACCGTTGCCTTCGTGCTTCCCGGCGTCCAGCTCATGATCTTCCCCGTTGGACTTATTGTCACTGGTACCTGGCTACTGATCGGAGTGGCTTTCTACGGATTCGGCACCTACGAGCGTATTGGCTACGCCGACAGCTACAGGAGACGAAGGGCCGTCGCCGGCGACACCGCCAAGCGTATATAAGAGACTTCCCCGCCGAGTTTCTTCGACAGAGCGAAGGCGGACTGTAGGGAAGCGGTAGTGGTATTAAAGAGGAGGATACGCAGTCACTGGGAGAGCCGGGATTGTAGGATTGGAGTAGTATCTCGCCCATGGCGGCAGAGGCATCAGCATCGAGCAGCAGCGTCAAATTACTTTTTTTTTTATCATCTTCACTTCGCTCCCTTCACCCACCGTCGGGCAGCACCCTATCTATCGTAAATAGTTGGATGTTCATTTACCTCGCTATAGAAACAATATCCACCACCTAGTGAAGGCTGCTTCACCTGTTCCTCGACTCCTTCGTTTGCCGAGACTACTGCGTACGCGTGAAAGGCCCTGGGCACGTTTTGGGAGGTAGTCGAGTCTGCGGCTGTTGTGCGACATGTTACAGTTTCGGGGAAAGTTTCAGCAAGGGTGCGGGCAAATACGACGTCACAGCAATTCGTCAGTGTGGATGGAGGGGATGGATTGATGGGATGACACCAGCCACGTGTGGCTGGTGAAAAGATGAAAGTCGTCGCGGCGCCTCTTTGATTGGTCGGGGATGCTGGGATTGTGTTGGTGATTGATACGGCACCGGTAACCGTCTCTGTCTCTCCCACGGCCCGAAGCGGTCAGTCAGGGCCGTGGGCCTTCCGTCTAGCGGCAGATTTGTCGAGATGTTGGTGTCGCTAGGACGGGTAAGATGTGTACCGCCCAGCTTCGGTTAGGCCACCCATCCACCATGTTTGAGAGAACTTCTCAAATCCACGGGGCGCTGCTGGAAAGTGGACATCACGGGTGCGTCGGCGACGGGACCCCGAGGCCACCGCGCCGCGATACCGAGCCCGCCGCCGTCCAAAAGCGAGTGAAAAGTAGCTCCCGCAAAGAAGGGCAAACTCCCCAAGGTTCAGCGAATAAGGCCTCGCTCTGCGGCAGAGCTCTTTATAGTTGGCGGGGATAGCTAAACTCTACAGAGTTCCGTCTGCCCATCTTTCATAAAGCTTGCCATCCCCCATCCCCTGAAGTTTGCGGGTTATTTGGCTGGTTACTTTGTTGTGAAGTATGGAGAATAGTTTGGGTTGGATTGTCCGTCGGCGTTTGGTGAGCGGCGGGATAGGCGTTTAGAGGGATCGATTCACTTTTGGTTGGAGGCGGTTGGAGGGTTGGCTATTTTGGGATGGCGATGGGGAAATGGGACAGGAGGGATGCTGAGCTCGGGGAATTCTCGTCTGGTTAGACTCCGCGCATCCACATGCTGATCACCGAGGCGGGATCTGTTTCCGGGGGCGGTGAGGTAGAAGAAATTCTTGTTGCCCCTGAGCTGAATATCTTCGTCGTGGGCGGCATGAAAGCTATTGATCAGGGGGTTGATCACAAGCAGGTCCTGGACTAGGTCCATCTCTGTCGGGGTTTGCGGCAGATATATTGGGCTTTCTGGGTCTGTCCTGTGAGACTGAGTACACGTGATTTATGCCTTGAGAGTCCGAAGCGACTGCGGGAAGCAGAGTATCCCGGCGTGACCGGAGTAAAGTCCGGAGGCAGCCGGGTACCGGATAATGGCCGGCAGTCCCGGGGAAGGCGGCGTGAACTTTGAACACGTCCGCTGAATACCTTTAAAGCTTTGGAGGACGACGACGATCGACCAGAAGACATTTACACAGTGGTTAAAGGTTTATCTTCCTCGTGTCTTATAGTTACGTTCACAGCGTCATTAGGAGCTCCCCGTTAGAATGTGTGTTCGAACGATTGATAAATGGAGACGATGACATCTATGATGAATCCCTAACTTAAATTCAAGTAGTAGGCTTCATAATCGAGCTTACGAAGACCGCATCTACGAGCCACGTTGATTGGGGAATGCGTAAGATTTAGAAAGCGAGTAAGTATGTTGTGTATGGTGGACTGTAGAGTTCTTCTGCGGACAACAACATGGCTGACGATCAAAACATCAGAACTTAGAGCTCACGTCTTTTGACATGAGCATACCCGATTTGATCTTCATGCAGCATTGTTCCAAAGAAGTCAATGTTCACATGTCTAAGTATTAGAAGTAGACACGTAGAATCATTTTGTCAACAAGGCCTATTTCAAACGTCTCAGTGAGAGCAATTTCCAACTCATGAACCAAGGCTATTTTCAGTATGGTTCTCCCTCTTGAACTAACTTCATTATATTTAGTGTTTCGTATGCGGGGACGTGTCAGGGGCGCGCAAGACACCATGAATGCGCTCCTCCGGCTTACCCATTGCAATCATCACAAGCGGCCTCCGGCAGCAGCGACTCGTGAAAGATTAATCAGAGCAGTTCAAATCAAAAATACAACATGATCATTCTTTGCTATGAATTGAAAACCCTCGTTGTACAACGCTTATGCCTCGCTTGGTGGTGAGTGTGGCTGACAATCACAACTAAATCTGCCGACAGGCCACGCGACTAGATCCCAACATCGTCGGCAATCTTTAAAACCCAACCGTCTCATTCAAACTTTTTTCAACCGCGGAACAATAACACAACACCGAAGAAGTCTGAAGAAGCCATGTCGCAACCCTACTTGGGCCCTCACTCATTCACCATGTGGGTTCCTATGCTCCACCACCACAACTCCCTCCCGCTATCATCGTCTCCACGTCCGCTCGTCGTCACCAACCAAGACTTCAAGCTGGGTTTCCAGTCGCCCGGCTAGCTCAATCGGTAGAGCGTGAGACTCTTAATCTCAAGGTTGTGGGTTCGACCCCCACGTCGGGCTCAATTCCCGTCCGCGATTGACCAGCAATTCTCTTTTTGCTGTTTCTTCTTTTTTTCGGGTTTTCATTATGAATGGCTTGCTCCTGTAGCAACGCATTCCCTTTAATGTCTGCATTACCCTCAGTTTTGTTAATGCTGTAGAAACTGCGTTGAGTGAACGTCTAGTTATAAAATCTTTTTATTATGAGATGGTTAGCTCGATAGGTCTGAGACCGGGGTCCAGCCAGACCAGACAGGCTACTCCCCTTTGAACAAGTCTTTCGCAACGCTGGCAATCAATCTGAACTTGAATCGTCAGCCAGAAATTCGTACCAAATGGTTCAAGCCAATGTTTTGAATAACTCGGCTCAAAGAGCCTTCTGCAACGGCCTTGAAGTCATCAACATAATTGACACGGACATACCACAGAGTCAAAGACGCTCTGTCTCATCTTCATCATGAGCTACCTTGTATAAGTCGTTCAACAAAATTCTCCTGACACGAGACATAGCTGTAGCAGTGACAACACCAATTCCGGCCTGACTTCACCAAAGCGTGCCCATTCTTGCACTCGTATCCAGAATAGTTGAACAGCAGTTAAGCTTCGAGGGGAATAACAGATCGATGACAAACCCCGTTGTGACCTTTTCTGGATTGAGTCCAGATCAAGCTCGGCTCTGGTGATTATGGCCCCCTCAGGCAGGACTCTACCGGAGATGCTTCACTGCGAGAAAGAGGGCTGAAAGTGTGAGAACGAGTTAGAGGACATCGGCTGAGATCGAGGTCCTTGGAGCTCGCCGCTAGAGTGTTTCAATATCATAGGTGTGCTGGGATTGAGATCGTGGCAAGTAAAGCTGGCATGAAGGAAAACCTCACATGATTGCACTCTCACGGCTGATGGAAGCGGAACCTCATCATCTTTCCATTGCATTAAGATACACGCTGGCCTAGACCAGCTAGCCTGGTTGGCTTTGAAAGACATCGTGACATAGGGGGGGAAAAGGTTGCTGGTGGAAATCATTTCTTCTTACCCTGTTGAAGCGAAGCGTCTCCTCAACATGAGAGCAGTGCCCATCAGCTATCTCAAAATATCGTAAAAGCTACAGTCTCGACATCTCTGATGCTTTTGGTATTTTAATCTCCAAGAAGCTGGACCTAAGTCCGCTGCTGATGCGGCGCTTTCTTTAATGCGGCGTTAGTCAGGTAATAGGCTTCACTAAGGAAACAAAATAGAAACAGGAATACTAAGGGATATTGACACAAAAGTGAGTAGACAATGTGATTCTCGGTGCTGAAAGTCCCTAACGGTACCTCATCTACTAGTCGAAATGATGATCATGGCGCATACTACTCATAGAGCTAGTCAATCCGAGGAATGTCGTGCTCGAAACTTTGGTGCTATGTGAAAAGCAGCAAAACCTAGGGTTTGAATGGCCCTTCAAAAGGCTGCGCTTCGGAATGGTTACCTGAATGTTCGACGTAAGATCAGCCGCAAAGAAATGTGGTCATCTGTTGGTTAGTCCATGAAAACTAGAGTATTTGTAACTGCCCAATATAAGGTAGGAAGCTGGCGCAGAAAGAGATGTTTCGCCGTCAGGAGTCATAATATCATGCATTCGCGAGAAACTTGGGCGAATGTCCAACGAGAATCAATGCAATCACGGCACTACGAAGCTGAGTAAAGTATCATACAAGACCATCACCATGCAAACGACTCGAATGTGACAACCATCTCCAGAGGGCCTGGTCTTCGTCAGCTGCGATCTTTTGGCTTCGTTGAATGTAGTCAGAACCAGAGGCCCATTAGTCGACGAGCCGAACTTTACCGTCCTCAAAACTACACAACGCCACCGTCTTGACGTTGATAAAGACTTTTGTTGTAATTTATTCTTTGATCTTACTAAGGATATCACACCAAGCCCCAATCACATCCGGAATGTCAGTAAACCTCCGCCCTATCCTACAAATTGCGACGTTGAAGGACTTGATATGCAATCCTCTGTCACAAGCTGTGCTGACAAAGCTCATCTGAAGTCGACGTGCGGCAACATCATGATTAACATCTGACTCGGCCAGTGCGATTGCATGAATCTTCCCGCCCACCCCCCTTGCAAGAATGCAAGAATGCGATAGGCAAGCTGCACTCAAATAACCCGCACATACTCTGAGCTGGCAGCTACCTTCTATCAAGCTTGGACCATCACAACATACATGAAGATGTCCATGACAGGCGCTAACGGTTGGCTGGGTGGTGTATATTGATGGATTTTAAGACG